TCACATTTACCACAGCTGTGATGAAGAGGAGGGCAGTGGGGAACCACCTCTCTGCCCACATTAGCTTGACTCAAAAGAATTAAAATGTCTCAACTCTCACATGAGAAACTGGAACTCTCATGGCTATTCCCAGTACTTCAGCTAACATTCATGGTCACAAGCATACCAGCATTTCCAGCTTCACACTCTCAACTTCTAGGAGTCAGTCTACACATCCAGTCTGCTTTTGAATGAAAGTCTCCTCAGAACTTGGGTTGTGACAAATAAGTGTTTGTCTACCAAGGCTTAAAAAACACTCAGGAATTTGCACAACATTTCAGATAGGGATGTACAGGACTATTATACAGCAGAACCAAAATACATGTGCTCAAAACTGGTGCAAATTTGTTATCCAACTGAAGGAATGAACAGTTTTAATTATAGTACTGGATGCCCGGCAAGGGACAAAGCTGCAGCTACAAAGAATATCACATTGCTGTGGCCTAACGCATGGATTTACCCTTAGTGGTACATACTGCATTTAAGTTCTGGAGCTTGCAGATGTGGCTGCAGCCCATTCTGTGCCTTTTTTTATTGTAATGGATTAAGGATGTAGAGTAGTCGGGATGGGAATGTTCTTTTAGGAGTGAGTAACAATAGCCCAAGGGTTCAATTTTAAAATTGGGCTCTTGATAACTAAAGTGTGGTTCTACTTTGAATATCAACTTGTAGAAAAGACATTGTTTATTTGTTTTCAAAATTGTACCAGTTGTGCTCAATTCACTAGAAAAACATTTTTATTTGCTGTTAGCTCTGCAAACTCAACTGGGGATCTGACACTTAAACCAGATTAATTTATTACTGGCAATGATACATGGAAAACAAGGTTCTACAGGCCTTGTGGTCAAAGACTAATTATTTTCAGTGGGTTTGCAGAGGTCTGCTTCCCTATAACTTGATAAGGCCCAACTAGGAAAAGAATTGCAGCTCTCTGTGTTGGCTCAGCAGGACAAAAAAAGGAGAAAAAGCTGATTTTAATAATTGCAATTAGAGGATATGAGTTTGAATACACACACATGAACCCAATCTAGTAGTAAGAAAGAACCATTTTTACATATTCAGTTTAGATTTAACCACTTTAAAAACCAGTCTTGGTACAGTATTGGAGGAACAGCTATCACTTTCTTTGATAACGATGACAGGTATTGCTACCCCATGCAGTGTTCTTGGGATCCATTGTTTTAAATGAATGGTTTATGTATGATTGTATTCTACTCCAGGGGGAGGACTACCACAGCTCCTCCAGGAACAAAAAACAGTGGGTTTGTGATTAAGGCAAATCCAACCAGATTGTAATCCCTTCAGAAAGGTACTGCTTAGGGTTACCATATTTAAAAAATAAAAAAAGAGAACACTCCATGGGCCCTAGCCCTGCCCCTTTCCCACCCCGGCCCCGCCCCAACTCCGCCCTTTCCCCGCCCCTTCTCCAAAAGTCC